ACTTTAGTGAAATATGTAACGAAATATATTTATACAAAGAGAAACATCACGTCTCCCTTCTTTCTACTGATGTGGAGTGTAACGTATCCTTTTTCCAGGATTACCTAACATGTTGACTATAGGTTTTGATCAGAGTCTCATTTCTAGGCTACAAGCTGAACTAGATACTGCCCGTCAGCAAATTGCCTAGTTGAGTGTGAATGTATGATACAGTTATATATTAGAAGCAATGAACACTGAATTTGGGAAAATCTTGAGCAAGTGTCCAACAAAAAGTATGAATTCTTATTTGGTTTAATCAGTTAGCGAACCAAATAACCCGAAAACCGATTAAATCGAACCTTATTTGGTTTGGTTATCAGTTAGTTTTAGAAAAAGTAAAAAATGATTAACTTGAACCAAACAAACCAAAAACTGATTTAACCCTTCAATGAACACCCCTACATGTACCCCCAAACTCATGGGTTGTTTGTTTACCTCTTAATAGTTCCATTAAGAGGTAGTCTCTGAATCGTTAAGAGGTATATCTTGTTTGGAAGAAAAAAAAAGTCTGCTTCTTAATGGTTCTAAAACCCTCCGAATGATTTTGTATTATGGACCTCCCTTAAACATTAAGTGCCTTAATTTCATTGTAAACAATTACCAAACATTATATTTCATTTTGTACTATATCATGAGAGTCTCTTAATCATTCTGACCACTTAATCATTATGTACCAAATCATTCAGCAATTGCCAAACAACTCCTCACTAAATATGCACCATATCTCACACTCTCATGATCTCACACAGTTTTGACCTTGTTTTCGCGAGCCACTAACCCGATGTCGTCAATATCCATGACATGTACCCTTGCAACCTCGATGTTCGCCATCACTAGTATCCTTTTCTTCGTCGTTCATATCTTTTGGTAGACATTGGTTTTTGAGAAATTATGTTTTTTACTTAATACATGTCAATTGTTGAGAATGAATGTATGAATAAGTATATATATTAGAAGCAATGTCACTGAATTTGGAAAAATTATTTTAACAAACTGTCCAACGAAAAATAACAATTCTAATTTGGATTAACGAGTTATCGAACCGAACAACCCGAAGACCAAATAATCCACACCTGATTACACTGAACCTTATTTGGTTTGGTTATTGGTTAGTATTAAAAAGTTAAAAACCGATTATCCCAAACCACGGGTGTACATGGGTTGGGTTGCTTTGTTTGTGACATTTTTATAACCCAACCCAGTTATGAGATTTGGAAAACTCTTAACCCAACCCAACTCATTTAAAAGTATATGTTCAGCCGATAAGGAAATTTATTTGGTAAGCACTTACCAAGTAAGCGTTTAGTAAACGACCTCTAAATCTCTTGATCTCAAGTTCTCAACTCACTACTTTATTTAATTTTCAAAGAACTCGTGTTTGACTCTTCGTGTACGGGAATGGAAATAAGTATTTACCTATTCAGGCTTTTAGTTGTTAAGTTCCCTTTTTATATTTATCTAAGCTTTAGGTATTATACATAATTATCATTTATCCCTCAAGCAATACATTAAAGAAGAAAACCACACCTTACAAAATAACGCGTTGTAACATGCCATAACGCGTTATAATGGAGATCAAGCCTTAGAATGAAGCCACATGGATTAACATGGCGACGAACCCAAGCCTTGACGCCATAGCGCCATGACTTATTATTTAGAACTATGATGTGTATATATATACTCATATATATCATATAAATAAAATTTGTCTAAGTAGACTAATATTTTTATATTTTTATATAGGGAAAGGTTAATTTGAGAAGTGACAAGTATTTGAGAAGTAAAGAAGTGATCATGACCCTTTATTAAATTAATATTTGCGGCTTTGACTGTGAAACACTCGATAATTCCTTGAATGAATATACAAAAGATAGAGTGATAGTTTCATAACTTTTACAAATAGATTGCAAACGAAGTCATATATGAAGCCCGTGCGATTCACATATGAACTATATGTTTATATGTGAATATATTAATTAGTTCATTTGTAAGTTCGTATGTGAATCACACAGTTCAAATATGAACCTGTGTGCCGCCTATTTTGTAAAAGTTATGAAATTACTCCTCTATTTTTCACATAGCTACAATTTTTGACAAATCAAAGCCGATCTTGACCGTATGAAAGGCTATTAACATTTCTTTACTTCTCAAATATTTATCATTTCTCCAAAAAAAACCTATGACTTCTTTTATATATACTAGAAGCGTACTCGCGCAATGCAGCGAGATACATCGTGTTTTTAATATTTCATTTTATTCTTTATCTCAGTCGATGTTATAATATGGCTTTATGTGATTTTGAGAAAGCGATGATGTTTTTATTTTTGAATAAAATA